AAAACGAAAACTACAGAACATTCTAGACAAAGTAACACAGGACAATAAGACTAATCTTCAGTTGTACAAAGAGAGAATGTATGACTGTCAGCAGGATGGATAAACCAAAATATGAGTTATGAAATGGGGATATCAAAATCATGCAAGTACAGATATTAAAATATCTGAAAAAAGTTTTATCTTCTCACAAAAATGTGACATCGAAATCAGCGGGCGGGTTGTAATAGCAAAATATGATGCCCTCCAGAAGAGAAAAAAATATTAAGACAGGAAAGCTTCGTTAGAAAGAAAGAAAAGTGTGCTAAAAATGCTGTATAATATCATCCCATCTATATGGCAGTGAATGCTGGACAATTTTCTAACAGATGAAGAAGGATTTTCAGTGGTCAGACATAAGGCAACAGAAATGTGCCAAGACAATCGTGGACGGAGTATCTGAGCAACAAGCAAATTTTAAGGAAACTGAAACCAAAAAGAATAATCATGAAGAGACAATTGAAACTTCTGGGACACACAATGAGGGAAGAAAGTTTGGAGAGTTTGACACTCAGATGACATAATGAAAGGCAGGAGGAAAACAGCGAGTGCATATAGAAGGCAAGAACGATATAGAGAAAATATGCAACATAGCTAAAGAGCTTGTGTAAATGAATGGCAGGACTGGAATTGGTAAAAAAAAGGGACAAGCATTGCTTAGAGCTGTGAAGTATATGAAGTTGTGGCAAGACATGTTAGACAAGCTCCTGAAAAGACACAAAACATCAAAGAAGATATTTACATTAGTCGGACTATTGTCCTCATCTCTGTCGCCATATTTGTCACAACGTTTCGGAAGTTGTACGCTCCGGCTTTCTTCAGGTGGTTGGAATTTCGAACTGAACTTTTTATTTCGATCACTGGGGTAGACTGTTCTAGTTCCACGTACCATGTTTGATGGATGTCAGTTATCAGTTATCTCCTGCTAATTTTCCCTCTGAAAGTTCTCCACTGCCTTAACCGGGTATTGAACTCACACTCTTTGGGTTTGTCACTGGATCTAACCAACGCCTTTATCCACTGTGCCATGTGTCCTTGAGGAACAAGGGCCGAAACGTTGTGACAAATATGGCGACAAAGATGAGGACAATAGTCCGACTAATGTAAATACTGTACATAATACCTCATCTCAGAAATATAGAAAGACTAAGACGATTGAAACATATGGAGACACGTTTTCTAAATACGATTTACACCAGACTGTAAGCAGGAATGCAAACTTGGAAAATCAATTTCCATACCGATGTGGATAGCAACAGAAGATGCTACGCTCATTCATTAACATTAAGTCTTTTTTTTTCTCATTTGCGTGTATGCACATCTGAAAAAGATGGCGCACACAGACATTTTGCTCGCTCTTCCTGGTTTCGGAATCAAAGGACGCCGAATCGTAAGTCTCAGCCATTTTACTTCCACTATCATCTCGAGAGCAGCACAAATAAAGATTCAAAATGGGAGAATGTATAAATAGTAGCCGTCGAAACAAAGCAAAAAAGAATCGTTTTTCAATGTTCTGAATAAATTATTCACGATTGCCGAACGTCCGAGGCCTTTCGGAAGGATGGGTTAGAGAGGTGAGCAGTTTCTTAGTGAGAAGGGATGTTAGTTTGATAAGATGTACTGATTTAATTAAGCATGCAAAGATATTTATCCTCAGACTGCAAGACACATATGCTATCAGATAGATATGAACGGATGGAGGTAGATATTTGCAACATAGAAATATTGCTGGAAGCAAATGCTGGGCGACAGAATTTTTGAATCGTACCAATTATCTAACCAAAGAAAAACCTAGCTACCTTGGAAATCAACATAAATAATCCTGATTTAAATCCCGGTACAAACACCGATTACACCTTTTGCGGGTCAAATACACAACTTTTCAAAATGAAATATAGATATATTGAGGTTTATACATAATTGGCAAGTCGCTGTACAGATGTGTAGAGAACATAAGTATTTATATTCAAATGAAAGTAAAGAGTGCTGAAGGGAAAGTTTTGTTCGGAGCGCAGGGGAATTTTAAATAAATTATATTCAAGGATTCTCTAAAAGAACCCGGGTTAGTGGCAGCAATATAAGGGAATGAATCGATAATGATAGCAACCTTCTGTCGGATTTTTATTAATATTGTTCTTTTCACTAGTTAACTGAAATAGGAACTCTGATATTACGGGCACAAGTTCGACACTCTGAAAATCTCTTGGTTGATTTTGTAATTATGCTAACGACTTCAAGGAAGCGATATCAAAGAATCAAAATGTCTGGTCGAAATGTAACGAAAACTTGGGGTTCATGCGGAGCTTACAATACAAGTCTGATTTTTAGAATGATGATTTTTTTTCTTATAACAATCTGAAAATCTCTTTTACGTACGAAAATAGGAATAGACGAAAATATTATTACAAAAAGTTCCCAGAATCCTCTTTAAAAAATACTAGAATCTGGATACACTGTAGATTTTTTTTAAATAATAATAAAAGAAAATTTGGATTATTCAATTATTTGAAATAAAGATATAGACCAAATATAAGTTTTATTCCTAAAAAATAACGCTGATATCATATTAGAAGTCCTAGTTGTCGAGAATATTTCTAGTTGGAGTGAGTAGCTTTAAAGCGACGGTTGCTCAAAATAATTGTTTGATACAAATAAATTTGGTCTTTATAATTACCATTTTTAAAAATTCTGGAAATGTGATTAAAATCTTGCTTAAAACGTACATTAAAAGGGCTTTTCTGATGATTCCAAAGATTTAATATGGTCGCTAACGTTATATGCAGGTAACTCGCCAATTCGGAGAAGCACAGAAATAAACACACAGGGCTTACAATTGATTATGGTATTTCATTTCAAGAACACGTTGTGGAACATTCAATAAAATATCTGGAGAGATGAAAAGAAAGAAATGTCTCTCAAAAAGGAAGTATATCGATAAAAACAAAGTGGGTGTGGTGTATTATCACATGAGCAAAAAAATATGTATATAACTCCTTAGCAGAGAGAATCTTTTTACAGATCTTTGCGATTGGAAGTCCGTCTACTTTACTTTTATTCTCTCATTTCACTTTAATTCTTTCTAATTCTCCTTCCTTCTCTCTTTCTCTATCCTTATTCTTTTTTCTCTTTGATTCTCTCTACCACTGTCTTACCCCCTCTTTAATTCTCTCTACATCACACACACTCTCTCTTTTTTCTTTCTTTCACTCTCATTTTTTTTTTTACCTGCATATTAAATATTTTTGTTAAAAAAGGTAAATTGTACTGATGCATTATACAGATGATGAATATTACCCCACGATACATAATTCCATGCTTCTTGATACACTATAGCAAGAATTGTAGCTATGCTAACTGAATACCCAGATGTCGTCCCACATCTTCTGCTATAAATGTTCAATGGGGGTACAGATGTGGCGATCGCGCCGACCAGGGAATTTCTTAAATATCTTGCAAATAAGTCTAAGTAGCACGGACAAAATTCATTTGGGACAGCAAATCAGGTGACCTATTCAAGAATGGCAGCAGAACAGGATGAACAAAGTTCTGGGCGTAACTGGCATTGTTTAGCTTTCCCTCCACAAACACCAAAGACAAGCGAGAATTCTAACTTAAAGCACGCCAATACCATAAGGCTATGGGCTTGTGTGTCGAGGATGAAGACTCACTGTAAGATGTCACCCCTCGTCAAGTCAATGTCGCACAAATGACCATCATGTACATAAACACAGAACGTGTTTTCATCAGTGAACTCAACATAGCAACATTCGATTTCACCATTGGAGACGTTTCTAGTTTGAAACATATAGACCTGTAGCAAGTAAATGATTCCCAACAATTTATATTGAATTCCTGGAGTCAAATTTACTCTGATCAGTGCTATGGACGTCGTTTTGTTTGTCATTTCCGCCCTTAATATGTATCAAGATTCTGGCCCATGGGTGTAAAAATGTTCACTAAACCACTTTTACCAAAAACTGGTCAACATCCGAAATGACCAGCCAACCAGTCAGCCAGCCGAAGGTACAAAATTCGCCCACTCATAAAAGTTTCTAATTGAACAAAAGAAACACGTTGCCATCACTTTGCTATGGAACCTGTTGGCACTGGATTCTTTACCACACTATAACTTATCGCAAGAGGCGGTTAAAATCCAAAGTCTGTGCATTTATGAGTTATCAGAATATCACGTAGTATATACATATTGTACTCGAGCCAAAATCGACATTGTTCTTCAATGTGTTGCAGTTTTATTTTACGTCAGTGTCTTTCGAAAGCCATGTTAGACATGGTAAAAAAAATAAAAATTCTACATTTTTATCAATGCTATGGAACTAAGGGTCAGTATTAATAACATGAGGTTACGTTATTTATATCACTGACCGCGAGTAAGAATTAACCTTTGGGTAGTATGTAAAACTGACATATTTTTGATCAGAAATATAATGAGGAAAAGAAAGTAAAAGAAAAGAGATACAGAAAAGAGTTGTTTCTTTGGGTTTTGCTTTCGTTAAGGAGATTATTTATCTATTCCTTTTTTTAATGACGTTCCGAAGATATTTTGCGGAATACTTTCGCCAAACTGTATAAATATAAGCTGACCTACACATAGATAATAATGTTTTATAGACTTTTGCCTTTCCCTCGCAATATATCGGAGTCAGAAATCTATGTACTTATCTGTGTGCGGGCATATGTACAATATTGTTCATGTAAAACTGTGCGTGTGCATGTATCTATAAATCAAGGCTCACCCATATATGTAAGTAGATCTGCAAGCTACTTATGAAAAATATAATTTATTTTATACGAATATTTATTTTTCAACATAATATCATTCCTTGTGAATTATTTTAATTTAGTGATGAATATTAGTCACATGAATAAAACATTTTCATCGGACTATATACCCCCCTCACCGAAATTGAGCTAATAACAAGAGCGACAAATTTACTCATTAATTTTCAGAGATAAATAGACAGAGATGTACAGATAGATAGATAGATAGATAGATAGATAGATAGATAGATAGATAGATAGATAAAAACAGACTGAGATAAATAAGAACGAAAAGTATTTGACGAATGAGAGAAAAGGTTTTCGAATGATAAAAAGTCTAAAATGTGAATGGAAGTAAAATAATTCAAACAAGCAGAAGAAGAAAAAACAAAATAGTTCGAAAAGTAAATGAAAACTGACAAAAATGAAAGAAGCAAAAAGATGTTAATGAAAAGAATCCCGAAATAAAATGTTTGGCAATAAAAGTGCGTTCATCTGACATAAAAGAAAACATCATAAGCAAAGTTCTTATGGCTTTTCCCCATGTTTAGTTTGGTCAAACATAAAGACATAATGGATGCGACACTTGTGAAAATCAAAGTCACTACTCTTGCTAATAGCACGCACGGGTCTTCGTCTTAGCGTGATTCCAAATTCCAGAAAATCTTTAATATTCGTGAATTCCCTTCCGGCTTATACAAGAAATATTTAAAAATATAATTTGCATTTAAATATTTATCTGTAAACATGCTTTTGTATGACAAATCATGTCTAGAAACAGTTTCTTTTATCTCCATTAAAATTGTTTTAACTGCGAATCTCCCTAGATTTTGACACATACTTTATTTGATATTTACTTTAATAGACCAAAAGTATATTTTTCACTTTTTCTCGATTTATTGTATTTACTTAGTTTGTTAAAAGACCATGACAGTAAGGCACTCTGTATCTATAAATACTTTTTTCATAGTAAACATTCTTTCTCTATAAATGTAGGACATCTTAACAATATATAGTGAGGACCAAGCAGTGAAAATCTCTTTTATGCAATCTTTAGGTCATGTGTGTCGTATTTTGGATCTACTATTTTTATATGCTGGTCAATGGTTTATTATTGGTAGTAAAGTGTATTGTATTAACATAACGGTTATGGGGTGGGCTTGAAACATAACCGTCACCGCCCACCGAATAATCGTTATATATATATATATATATATATATATATATATATATATATATATATATTATATATATATATATATATATATATATACGCACTTTATGGTAACTATAACTTTGACGCGTCAAGCAATCTTCAGCTTTAGCCGCGGAAATGATATTTTACCCATGCAGTGTTGATTTTTATGCCCCCACTATACTTACAATGTAAGTATAGCAACTTTTAACAATTTAAATATATGTAAATCTACAAGTAGACACTGAGGTCTACAACAAGCGTCGATTTCATGCTTGAACTCAATCTTCAGCTCAGAAATGTTTTCTTTTGGCTCGATTATATACAGGGAGCGCGATGGTTAAGTTGTCGCCATTTTATATTTTAATATGTGAGAAAAAGAGCACCATGACAGAATTCACTCCGCTAAAAATTTGGAAACGGCTGTACTGCCTGGCCATCGCGCTGGAAGACTCCATACGAACATTTCACTGAGGAAAGTGCAGAGGATTCGAAAAGAGTTGGATGAGTCTCATGGCGATGACGAAGGTGTTTAGAGGGCTCACTACTGATGGCGACGTTATACCTCTATTCATTTTTCTACAAGATCTCACACTCAACACGGAGGCCTACATCAAGTATCTTGATGAGGTCGTGCTACCCTGGGTGAAGCGGGTGTCTGCTGGATGACCCTATGTCTGGCAAGCAGGAGAATCCAGTCATGATTGTCAGACAATTTCTGTGACCACATCGCCATTGATATCTCCACACCTAACTCCCCAGACTGCAACCCCCTTGATTATTATGAGTGGATTTTTAATATTGTTGACAGATCATTGAAGGGAGCAAAATGATTTCATTTTATATCTTGTGCTGCTGTTATTATCTGCTAATTATCATAGCAGCTAAACGACATATAACTCTCGCTTTTAATGTCATCTTTCTTCGTTATTCTTTCCTGCTTTTTTCTCTAGTTTTTTATTTGCTTTTATCTTTTTTTCTTTCCTCATTGCTTTTCATTTTTTCTCTCTTTCTTCCCTTCCTGGATACATTAAGGTGAATGACGCTCCCTTTACTTTATTTTTACCCTCTTCTTTCTCACTCCCAATTCTACTCTGTACACACTTCTTTACTCTTTATCCTTTCGCATTTTTCTCAATCTATTTTCCTTTATATTGCTCGTAGACGTTCGTATGGCAAGACAAAGTCCACTTCAGATTTGTATATATAATTCATATACTTATAAATATATCCCAGTAAATAAGTACAGGAAAGAATGATATATCTATCTATCTGACTGTCTGTATACAAGTAAATGCGTAGGTAGGGGATATATTTTTCGTCGTCACTTACGTTAAAATCAATTTGTCATTTAGGCAATGGTTAAAACCTAGGAGATAAGTTTAAAAAACCCTCGTCAAAATTAGATTAAAAAAGAAAACTTTTTCTTTATTTTGTTAATATTCCCAAGTTTACTCTTGTAAACTGAAGACCAGTATGAAATTTACAAATATATACATCGGCATTATCATATCCCGTCCTATTTGAGCTAGTATGCTCTTATTCATTCTGTTTCGGCCGTTGTACCCTCCGACTTTCTTCAAGTGCCTATCATCGTACTCGGAAACCTTTTCGGAATTTCGAACTAAGTTATTCAAACAATAAGGGGTTGAATAAAGTTGCTCAGTCTAAAACTCAGAGCATACGAAGACAGTCACCTGATAAAGTTCGTACTGTAAAACGCCCAAAACATTGTGAGTATAACAACCAAGATGAGCATTCTGGCCTGAATAGCAAGGCGTATAATAATCATAAATCTATTTTTAAAATTTCGGATATAAAGGTATATAGCGACTTTCACAGTGTATTTAGTAAGTACGCATACAAATATCTCCTTCCAAAAGATATATGTAAATAATACTAAAATATATAATGGTAGTTTTAATTATTCTTTATCTTATTTTAGGTACCATGCCCTTGAGGGCGTGGGTGATCATGGCTCTTCACAACTTCCTGTCCTTTGTAGCTTTTAGTAAAGTTTG